GACCATATGGCTCTCTCTCCCACGAGTATTTATCTTTAAACCTAATCTCTAGTTAAAACCTTAAAGTTCTTTTTTTCTTACCAAGAGAATTTCAGATCTCAGCAACCTATTCAGGGTGGTGTCTTGGGTAGGGGTATGGAAGACTCAATGTTGTTCTGGAAATCACACTACACAGGTATAGTTTTGAATGTTCACTTGGAAAACAAAACTCACCCAGATAATCTGAAGAATGTAAAAAAAAACTTAAAGAGAGGGTTTCATCACTCATTTTTTACCATCCCTGAAGATTCTGGGATCAGGTTTTGGTCCAAGGTGCTAGAAAACCTGTGCAGAAAACCTTCAGCCTCTAGGATTAATTAGCAAATTCTCTTTCATCTGTGTCTGGGAGACCTAATGGTAAAGTATTCATAAATATTCAAGAACTTGGCTTCCAGTTGTGATATGGGGCCAGTTGTCTACTTTACTGTAGTCACTGAAAGATTGTTTTACATGAATTTTCATCCACTTGATTAAGTTGGTTCATAATAACACTCTTCCTTCACTCAGGTGGGGAGGGGAAAACTAGGATTGGTCATACATGGTTGCCTTTTGAATCCAGTTGACAAAGTGATGGTGGAACTTTGGACACTACCTTCTTGAACTGCTTCTTTCCTTTTCCTCTTGTTGGATAGTACATGACTAAGTAGGAATGAACACCAGAAATCTTTGCCTCTTCGTTAAATGGGAGAGAATTTGGGGGCCATGGATTCCGTGCTTCATTATAGCTTCTTTATGCTAATTTCCTCCTTAGATTTGGCTACCTGGCCTAAAAGCAGGAGACTTAGTCTTTGCCTGATGGGATAATCTGCCCTTTGGCTATATAGATTGGCCAAAGTAGTTCCATTAAATTGAACAGTAAAAATTATTTTCATTGCTGATGGGAAAACATAGGAATGAGGGAATCATGGAAATTGATGGGGAAAAATCAGGAGAGGCACAATGGCCTCCTAATATTGATTATTCCATGAAATCATTCTTTTTAATATGTAAATATTACCCAGGACATACAGTGTACTAATCAAATTGACAATGATTAATTATGAATTGGGTTTATCCAGATGAGTTTTTCCTAGGTTTGATATCCTGCTTGCTAGCTAACATACCTCACTCCCTATCCTCTACCTCACCCTTCTCAATCAATAACATTCCCTAGATAATGTGACCTCAGAAGCATTTATTTTTTATTTAGAGAACTATCTTAATCATTTAATATTTCAAAAACAAAGTAAAATATACTACCTCATGTACTTATCACTCAGATTTAACAAATAGCGGCATGTCGCCACGTTTGTTTCTGATTCTTTAAAATAAACAACAAGAATGTTATCAGCACAGCCAAAGTTCCAGCCCACGTATCCCCTTTTCCTTCCTCCCTCTCTAGGGTTAAACACTGTAAGAAAACTTTTAGTACCTTTTCAATACTTTTTATACATGTTTTTGGTACTTTTACCACATATATGTACCCATAAATAATATTAACATAAAATGTAGTTCAGTGTATTAATTGATATATCATACTATAAGCCTAATTTTGTATTTTAACCCAAAATTAATTTTTAAAGATCTACCCAATGTCGACACATGCAGTGTAGTGTTATTCATTTTCACTGCAGAATAGAATTGTATGAACATCTGCTTACCTATTTCTTGACTATTGAGCAAGTTCTTCCTTATTACAAGGCTGCAAATAATAATGTGGACTTCTTCTTGTGAGAATTGTGAGCATTTTTCAACAGCATATATGGAGAAAAATTACTACATCAAAAGAATATAAATCTCTGATTTTATAAGAAATATTTAACAGATGAACCAATTTGATGAACCAATTTAAAAAGATGAAACACTTTAAATAGTTCAAATAGATAAACAATTTAAATAGATGAAGCTATTTATTTATTTATTTATTTTTATTCTTAATTGACAAATAATTGTATATATTTATGGAGTACAATGTCATGTTTTGATACATGTATAATAATCAAATTAGGATATTTTGCATATCTGTCACTTCATACATCTATCCTTTCTTCATGATGAGAATGTTCAAAATCCTCTCTCTTAGCTATTTTGAATTATACAATACAATATTGTTAACTGTGGTCATCCAACTGTACTATAGAACACCAGAACTTATTCCTCCTAACTGTAACTTTGTATCTATTGACCAATCTCTCCTTATTCCACCCTCCCCCTTACTCTTCACAGCCTCTGGTAACCATTATTCTACTCTCTACTTCTATGAGATCAACTTCTTTAAATTCCACATATGAGTGCAATCACATAGGATTTGTCTTTTTGTGCCTGGCTTATTTCACTTAACATAATGTCCTCCAGATTCATCCATGTTACCACAAATGACAGGATTTTATTCTTTTTGTAGCTGAATACTATTCCATTGTGTAAATATACCACATTTTCTTTATCTATGTACCCACTGATGGACATTTAGGTTGATTTCATATCTGGGCTATTGTGAATACTACTACAATAAACATGGAAGTACAAATATCTCTTCAACATACTGATTTCATTTCCTTTGGATATATACCCAATAGTAGGATTGCTAGATCATACAGTAGTTCTATTTTTTTATTTTCTTAAGGAATTTCCATAGTGTTTTCCATAGTAGCTACACTAATTTACATTCCCACCAGCAATGGATAAAAGTTCTCCTTTCTCCATATCCATGCCAGCATTTGTTTTTGTTTGTTTGTTTGTTTTGTTTTTGTAATAGCTATTCTAATTAGGGTGAGGTGATATCTCATTGTGGTTTTGATTTGCAATTTCCAGATGATCAGTGATGTTAAACGTTTTTAGACATTTGTATATCTTCTTTTAAAAAATGTATTTGAGATCTTTTGCCCATTTTTAACTTGAGTTATTTGGTTTTTTGCTATTGAGTGGTTTGAGTTCATTGTATATTCTGAATATTAGCCTCTTTTCAAATGTAGCTTTGTGAATATTTTCTCTTATTCTGTAGGTTGTCTCTTCACTCTGTTGATTGTTTACTTTGCTGTGCAGAAGTTTTTTAGTTTGACATAATCCCATTTGTTCGTTTTTGCTCTTGTTGCCTATGCTTTTGAGGTATTATCCAAAAAACTAATGCCCAGATGAATGTCACGAGGCCTTTCCTCGGCATCTTTTTGCCAATAGTTTTATCATTTGGGGTCTGACATTTAAGTTTTTGATCCATTTTGAGTTTTTTAATTGTATGATGAGAGATCTAGCATTCTTCTGCATGTGAATATCTAATTTTCCCAGCACCATTCATTGAAGAGACTGTACTTTCAAATTTAAAAATGTGATAGCAATGTATGAGAGTTTCTTTTCTTCTAATGTCTGCCAATGTACAATGTTTTGTATATATATTTTTTTAATTTTTGAGTGTTATTTCATTGTTTTAATTTTCATTTACCTTATCTCTTGGAAAGTGAAATCTCTTTTAATATGTTTAGTGGCCATTTGGACTTCATTTTCTGTGAATTTCTTCATTTTCTGTTCATATTGCTTGTTGTATTTTGGTTGAAATTTTTGTCTTTTTCTTATTGAGCTTTTTGTCTATTCCTTATCAATTCATAGAAATTCCTTATGTGTTCTGAATACTGATATTTTGTTGGTTTGGGGCAGCACATTTTCTCCCATCTATGGCTTTGTAGTGGTTGTAGTTGAGAAACTTCATTTTAATGCAATCAAACTTAGAAGATTTATTTATGTCGTATGCTTGGGAGTCTTGATTAAGAAATATGCTTTACCCTAAGATTATAAATGTAATCTATGAAATTTTCTAATGGTGTAAGGAAGGTATATAATGTTATTTTTCCCTACTAAAGATGGCCAGCTGCCTTGACATCATTCACTGAATAGCCCTTCCTTTCTTCGCTGATTTATAATGCCACTTCTGTCGATTTCTTAGTCCTTATTATAAACATGTTGATTTCTAGGCTCTCTATTTTCCTCCATTGTTTTATTGGTTGATCTCTGCAAAAGTACATTATCTGTTGTAATCACTTTAGCTTTATGACAAGTTTGATATGTTATAGTGAATCCCTATCTTCTCTCTTCATAAAAATTATATAGATATTTTAATATATATCAATGTGTTAAACATAAATCAGTTATAGGATATTTTAAAGATACATCGAGGATTAGAATTTCTTTAAAAAATTACTTTTAGCTTTTAGATTATATTTCTTTCAATGTGATGCCATGTAGCAACTAAATATGACAAGGGGTACCAGGATTATCAGGGCTAAACTTGTTCTTGAACTAGGGCCAATGTAAGTTTCTGAATGAAGCTGTCATCATGAATTTAAATGGATGTGACATTTCATTGATCAAGAAATTTATATAGAGCATACACTAATTGGCTATGGTAGACTCTGAACAAATTAAAAATAATCATGTGATGTATAGAAAATCAGGAGATACAGAATTAAACCGGTCATGGCACAGAAAATTATGAAAGGCAATAAGATTTCTGATATCGAATAATTTTTTTGCTTCCAGGGAAGAAACTCTGGAGTCAAAATATTTGGCTTCAAATCTCAGCTTCTCTTCTTACTGCTGTAACTATGAGACTGTCTGCCTCAGTCATCTCATCTGAAAAGAAATAATAACAGTACCTATCCAGCTCATACATTTAAGATCATTGAATCAGTTACAACACATAAGCTACTAGAACAGTGTATAAGAAAAACATTTATTAAACATTAACTATTGATATTATTATTTACAGAGACTAAGACCAGATTAAGAAAGAAAATGACTGTATAGCCTAAACCAACATTTTTCCCAGCACATTTGCAGCAAAATATGTGGAGAATGTAAGAACACATGGATGAAGACATTCCCTAAGTCAAAAGAACATTTCTACTATACTATGCCACTATCAGCATTTCTTATTCCATGACATTTTATTTTTTCCCTTCAACTTTCCAGTGCCCTCCAGCTGATATTCAAGCATGAGGCCAGGGAACCAGAGCAGCGTGTCTGAGTTCCTCCTCCTGGGGCTCCCCATCCCGCCAGAGCAGCAGGGCGTGTTCTTCTTCCTGTTCCTGGGCATGTACTTGACCACGGTGCTGGGGAACCTGCTCATCATCCTGCTCATCTGGCTGGACTCCCATCTCCATACCCCCATGTACTTCTTCCTCAGCCACTTGGCCTTCACTGACATCTCCTTTTCATCTGTCACTGTCCCAAAGATGCTGAGGAACATGCAGACCCAACACCTATCCATCCCCTATGTGGGGTGTGTTTCACAGACATATTTTTTCATATTCTTTGCTGACTTGGACAGTTTCCTTATCACATCAATGGCCTATGACAGGTATGTGGCCATCTGTCACCCTCTGCATTATACCACCATCATGAGGCCGAGCCTTTGTGTCGTGCTGGTGGCTGGTTCCTGGGTGATTGCTTGTGCTTGTGCTCTTTTGCATACCCTCCTCCTGGCCCGGCTTTCCTTCTGTGCTGACCACAAGGTCCCCCACTTCTTCTGTGACCTAGGTGCCCTGCTCAAGTTGTCCTGCTCAGACACATCCCTCAATCAATTGGTCATCTTTACGGCAGGACTGGCGGCCATTATGCTTCCATTCCTGTGCATCTTGGTTTCTTATGGTCATATTGGGGTCACCATCCTCCAGGTTCCCTCTACCAAGGGCATCTGCAAAGCCTTGTCCACTTGTGGATCCCACCTCTCCGTGGTGACTCTCTATTATGGGGCAATTATTGGTCTCTATTTTCTTCCCTCATCCAGCAACACCAATGACAAGAACATAATCGCTTCAGTGATATACACGGTAGTCACTCCCATGTTGAATCCCTTCATTTACAGTCTGAGAAATAAAGACATGAAAGGGGCCTTAAGAAAACTCTTGAGTAAAAAAACACACTCTTCTAACTGACACTTATCTTTCTTTTAAAACAGCCATATGATCTTATTTCATCAATAACACATAAATATAAATTATTGAAAATATGGCTCACTTGTCTTCCTTCCACAGCTGTAACTCTGAATTGCTTCGCCAACATTATTCTTACACCTATTAGGGGGAATAGCAAAATATGATATGTTTTATAGGACTTTATTTGACTTTTATTAGATAATGGGATTGGAAAATATTTTGAGGATGTTCTATCATTTTGGCTGGTGTCATTAAATGGAAGCCATCAGAGCTGGTCCTTCCCCAACTTTAAATATGTTATAAAATGTGTCTGATCTTTCACACTTTCATTTCTAAGGGATTTTGCATTTTTGTGAAGATATAGTTCCTCCTTCACCCAGGCACCCAGATATCCAGGGACCCTCAGCTCTTCCAGAAATTTGGGGGAAAACATTACATTTTATTTTCATTATGCAATAATTAGCACACTCCTTTCCTGTCCTTCAGGAATAGAGCCTATACTTTATTCTTTCTCCCGAAATGCATACAGTTATTCGGTGACATAATAAATGTCACCTCAACTCCCTGAGGTACTGGTCTAAGATACATTAAAATTACCTAACTTAACACTGACAACACCACCAAGAGGTAGGTTTGGATAACTCAGGATCAAAGGGGGTTGGAACACCTCCAGATCACACACTTAGTGAAAGGAAGATTTGAATCTTGGCTGTCTGACTCCAGAGTGACTCAGTGTGGCAAAGACTGTAATAGTTTACATGGAACACTGTAACTTTGAGGAAGAATAATTAGTTCAGCATGGTAGAAGAGGATATAAACACTTTCCAGAGAAGATGTTGCTTTACTTGAGTTTTAATGGATAAGAATTATCCAAACACAATTTATATGAAATTATCCAAACAATTTACATTTATTTATATGAAATATCCAGAATAGACAAATCCACACAGACAGAAGCATTTTGCTGTTTGCTAAGGCTTAGGGGAGGAGAATATGAGAACCGACTGCTTAATGGGTCAATAGTTTTCTTTCGGAGTTCTGGAATGAGGTAGTGGTAATTGTTGCACATTATAAATGTACTGAATGCCACTGAATTGTCCATCTCAAATGTTTAAGATGATAAATTTGTGTTATGTATATTATGTTTCCATAAACACTTTTTAAAAGAAAGCAAGAAGTAATTGTTACACAAAGCACAGAAAAGAATAATAAAATACTGATAATGTATGATTAATAACTTAATAAGGAATTAAAAAAACATATATTTAATTAATCAAAATGGAAAAGGAGGAAAAATTATGAAACAGATATCTCAAATAGAAAACATAGTAATATGGAAAATATAAATTCAAATATATCATGATTACATTTAATATAAATAGATCAAATTCTCCAGAAAAGTAATAATTGTCAATCTACACAAAAAAAAAGAGCAAAATCAACTTTACACTATTTACCATGGGCACAGCACATATGTAAAGACATAGAAAGGTTCAATGTTAAATGATGGGAAAGTAACATCATGTAAATACTAACCAAAAAACAAGCTGGTATATCAATACTAAAACCAGAAGAAGTGGGTAAGATGTTAAGGTAGGAGCCCTGAATAGAAATCAAGAGAAATATCTCCTAATTATAAATGCAATAGTGTGCAGCTAAATTAATAACAAATGGCTCACTATAATGAGAGATCCTTGTTTTTAGCAATTGCCAGTTTCCATGGTGTAATTATTCCCATCATGGCTGATTTCCAACTACCAACAAAATGTCATATCTATTTCATATTTTTCTGCTTAATGGGCCAATAGATCTCTTGGGAAGAGATGTACACAATCAGCTTGAAGCCAATGCAAGCCAGTTTCATTATACCACTGCATGAAAGAGTCAGTCTACCAGGAGTAGATCATAATGCTAAATCTATGTGTTCTCATAACATAGTTTAAAAGTATGTAAGGAAAAATTGACATATCTCAAAAGAGAAAAAGACAAATCCTCAATTATAATAATGCAACATGCTTTGCATAAGATTTTTCACATATCTTATAGGAGATGATGAATATTAAAGATAAAGAAGTTGTAACAACCCAAGTAACAAACTTGATCTAGTTGACATATTAGGAACACCATACACAACAGCAAAAAAACATGTTGTTATTTTAAAACTACATGGAGTTGTCAACCGTATGATCTAATAATTTTAGGAGATATATTAATATCACAGTGTTCATGAATGGAAATCAGAGAATTTAGTGATTGTCACTTAAAGAAGTTAGCCCTATTGACAAATGTTTCTAGAGCCTGTTTTATATCTCTGTTCCTCAAGCTGTAGATGAAGGGGTTCAGCATGGGGGTAACTACTGTATAAATAATAGAAGCAATTATTTCTTTGTCATTGGAGTTCCACGATGAAGAGAAAAAGTAAACACCTGCAAGTGTCCCATAGTATAAAGACACCACAAAGAGATGGGAGCCACAGGTAGAAAAGGTTTTAAAGAATCTCTTAGTAGAGGGGCCCCTGAGGACAGTGATTCCTATACAAATATAAGAGCCCAAGATACTACTCAAAGGCAGGATAAAAAGCACTCCCCCCTCAGTGAAGATGACCAGCTCATTGAGGGAGATGTCCGAGCAGCTCAGCTTCAGGAGGGCAGTGAGGTCACAGAAGAAGTGGGAGATGGTACTAGCAGCGCAGAAGGACAGTTGGAGCAACAGGAGGGTGTGCAACAGGGCATGGGCACAACAGAAACACCAGGACACGGCTACTAATGAGACACACAGCTCCTCCCTCATGACTGTGATATAGCGCAACGGGTGGCAGATGGCCACATACCTGTCATAGGCCATCACTGCAAGAAGGAAATTGTCAAGACAGCCAAAAAGTATGAAAAAATATATCTGAGAAATGCACCCCGCATAGGAGATGGATCCTTGCTGAGCCTGCATATTCATCAGCATCTTTGGAACTGTGATAGAGGAAATGGAAATGTCAGAAAAGGCCAAGTGGCTGAGGAAGAAGTACATGGGGGTGTGGAGGTGGGAGTCCAGCCAGATGAGAAGGATGATGAGCAGGTTCCCCAGCACAGTGGTCAGGTACATCCCCAGGAACAGGAAGAAGAACACGCCCTGCTGCTCTGGCCGGATGGGGAGCCCCAGGAGGACGAATTCGGACACGCTACTCTGGTTCTCCGTCCTCATGCTGTTCCTACCTCTGTCGGGAATTGGGGAAAGTGGGAAATGCCAGTGAGCATGACCATAACATTACAGAAATTTCTTTCTAGTATTAATACAAAAGTTTTTAATTTTGGCTACACTTCTGTTTATTTTTCACACTTGGTGCACAAATCACAAGTCTGTCTCATTTTAGTGCAATGATACATCAAACCCTCACCTTAACCAAGTTTCTTTCCAAAAAAACAAAAGGACATTAATTCTTCATCCAACATGTATTTATTTAACAACAGCCTTGTCCCAGGCACTACACTAACTACTGAGAACATGAGTACAAATAAGAAATGCAAAGTCTCTGTATTTGAGGAATTTATATCTTTATATCAAGCCAAATTCGAACCTGAGTCATTCACTGTGATGATTGAAACATGAAATGAGTATCAGCTATTTCCTTTGTTTAGGCTGCTATATATTACTTATTTACTTTATTTCCTACAGCATAACCTAGTTTGTCTTAGCCAGACACAGAAAGAAAATACTGCATCATCTCACTTATATGTGAAAACTAGAAAAAGAAAAAAAGGCTAATACATAGCAATAGGGAATGAAATGGGAGCTATTGGTTATGTCCTTTGGAAGGGAGGTGAAACTCCCTAAGTTGTAACAGAATTGCTAAAATTTTGTCACACGCTTACAGTGCCATTGGTTGGGTTCTACTGTTTTGAGTGATCTACAATTCCCTGTCACCAAAAGTGTAGTATCCAGGTTTGCAAACCAACATTAACAATAGTGGTAGGCACTATTTCAAGTGTTTTACTTGCACTATCAAATTAAATCCTCAACATAGACCTATTATTTTACCCATTTTAACAATGGGAAAATGAAAGCATGCAGTGTTTAAATGTGCAGTTAAGTACAACAGATGGAATCACAATATCTATCTGACCAGAATCCACGCTCCTAGCTACTCTGAATAGAAATTATACTCATCCTTAGTCAGAATATCCAAATAGGCGACATTGTGCTCACTGGTTTTGTTCAAAATGTCCTTAGCTCCCTACTTAGAAAATTTTGCCAGTCATATTTTTACATTGTAATACACTTTACAAAAGACTTTCACACCTTTTGCTTCCCTCAAAGCAATAAATATATATTTACAGCCTGTCAGATACACAATGCAAATATTATGTCCTTCATTTCATAGCTATGAAAACACTCAGGCCAAAGAGATAAATGGCCAATGCAAAGTCACTCACCTGTTTGACAGTGGATTCCCGATTCAGTATTTCTTCAACTAAGAGGTTGGGTCAGAGATTAGGGTTACCAAATACATACCCAGAAGAGGGAACAAAGATTGTCCTTCTCACTCAAGTGTAGGATCATGACAGCTAGTCCTCCTTAGGGACTATGCGCTTGCTCAGGGGCACAGGTTACCTAGGTTCCTGGCCACCAAGGAGAACAGTGACAGGACCCTCATGCTGGGGCCCAGCTGCCCACTGACATCTGCTGTGTCGATGCTACCAGGAAACCAGAAGAAAAGCAGAAGGCAGCCGGAACCAACCAGGAACCATGATTCCAGGAGGATCTTGCATGAAAGAGGCAGCTGGGCCCATGAGCCATGAAAACGAAGTCAGGCCATGACCCTAAGGTGTGAGAGGGAGCCCTTGGATGAGCCAGTTTTCTCTGACTTCTACCTGTGTGTCCCCACACAATGGTGAAATAGAAACTTCCATGACACAAATATCAGATTTTGAGAAAGATGGTAAAAATACTTCCTTTTTACTGAGCACCAATTATGTGTCTGGCATGGTGCTGAATGATTTGCAGGCATTGGCTCATTTATTCCTCAAAATACCATTATAAAATAGAAATAGTTACCTTCCTTTAAAGTAAAGAGTCTGGATCTCAGAGAGATGAAGTCATTTCTCAAGGTCACAAAAAACGTGCATGGCCAAACTGAGGGTCCAAGGGTCACTACAGACACTGAGCTCTTATCTGTTGGATAAGAGCTGCCCAATGGTGCAAATGCACAGAATCTGCCTGCCCAATGCAGAAATACAGCCACTGCTGAAAGACAGTTGAGGAAACATTTTAGTTCAGAGAGGCCAACCAGAAGCCCCTAAAACACATATGTGAAACACACATGCGCATGCACCACCACACACACATGCACACACTTAAATGGCTGATTTGTGATTTCTTACCACCCGAGACCATGGTGATCCTAAAGAAAGTACAGTAACTGTGTGGTTCAGTTACCCACAGAGTAATAGAAACAAAACTCACAAATAATACACAAGATTTGATATACAACAGCACAAATAACCCATACAACCACACACAAACATTTGTAGAGTCTCAACACAAACAACTCAACCAACAACACATAAACATCACATATCAGATGTATAAATTCATACTGTGAATACAGACTCATGCAATCAAACACATATATTAAACAACAAAAATACAAGGTAAAACACATCACAGAAAAATCATGCAAAAACTATACCATTTGCACATACATGCCTCTTCCCAGTGAGGCAACAAACAGCACACACAGTCACACACATGCACCCTTATTCATTGCAGAACAAGGTTCCAGCCTCCAATGACCTATGCCCAATATAGGTGCAGGTCATCAGTCAGTGAGTCACATGGGCCCATTTCACTCACAGGCACCAGCACACGAACATTGTCTACAAATAAAACAAACGAAAAATACACACACACACACACATACACAAACACCACACTTTCTCAAACACATGCAATTACTCATAAACAAAACACAAGATCATACATACTCATGTTGCTAAGTAGAGATTGCAAGATCTCTTTCCTATTACTGGTCATGACGAAATTCAAAAAACTTCTGCTCTAGGTTGCTGAATACCTCCATCTCACTTCAGACTCTCCACTCTCATTTGCTTAACTATGATGTCTGTTCACAGATGAAAATGTGGGAGGTATAGAAGCAGAGTAAGGTAAAATATTTGAGATTAAAGGGACTGATTAGAAGATCCCAGAACACAAACAAGTCTACTCTTGCTTGATGTGAGCCTATTTTGAGTTCTATGTTCTGAGTCTAGAGAGGAAAAGAACCAGGCTAAAGGTCAATTACATATCAATCACTCTCTCTTACAGAAAGAGGGAGAGAGAGAGAGAGACAAAATTCACAAGGAAAAGACACATATACCTACATCACACAAGCAAAGAAATACCACACAGAACACATATGGAATATATGTGGAATACATATGCAGACCTCTAGACACAGAGACACACCTTGCCCACCTAGAATTCCCAGCTCATTCTGACCTGTGCCAGTCAGGGGTGAACTCAGGCACCTGCTGATTCAAATAGTTTTCTGAGTCCTCAGCTTCTGTTGGGGACACTAGGAACAAAAAGGTAACAAGTGGACCTCTGTGAGCCCAGGATCTCCTAAGCTTTCTGGGTCTGTCCTTCAGCTCCAGAGCAATAGGCAGGGGGATACCATTTTAAAAATCACAGAGAGGACTCAGGAAATGTCCCTGAGCTCCTGGTTAAAGAAAGAATCAAAGTTGACTAATTGCTTCCAATTCCTACCAGACCTCAGGGAGGAGCCTGTGCAGGAGGGACTCAGGAAGGACAGAGCTGCTGGGGTCACCTGAGAGGTTGTCCCAGATATAGGAACACCCTGGACTGCTCTCTACCTGCTCATATCTCTAGCCGGGAAGCACGAGTGGCTGTCATGCTCCAACACTGATACAGCCCAATGCACTGGATCAACCTTTCCCAACAGTACATTACGATCCAGGTATAGAAAGTCTGGCTTCTGCAAACCCCCACACCTCTTATACGTGCTACCATGAGAGCACAACTTCAGCTTTAACTTCACATCCTGCAGGTCTCTTCTCTCTCCCAGCAGAGACTACAGAGTATGAAGAAGTGACTTTTCCAATAGATTACAAAGTGGGGAGGTGGAGCCTTTGGGCTCAGCACCCAGGGAGAACTGGGTCTGGGCTATGCTAGTCATTAATTTTTGACTATGAGCAAGCAAAGTAACCTCTTGGCCTTATTTCATCAGCTGTAAAATGCAGATAATAATTATTGTCATAATGAAGTCATTATAAGATTAAATGATATAATGCATGCTAAGCATGTAATTAATGCACAATAAGTATCACCTCCTCTTATCATTATCTTTTTAAATTCCAAAAGAAAAATATAATTATTTCTAAAATTATTGATATTAATATAGGATTGATATTGAATGACTAACTGAATACTTAATTAATTCTTCAAAATTTAATAAGGACCTCTTCCTCTCTAAGAAAGACCTATCCTTTCCCCCACCACAGTACAACAAAATTATTTACTTACTTCCTCTCCCCACCACTCAGAGCCTAGCACAGGTTTAGACACATGGTAGAGGCCCATTAGCTGTCAGATTCTGGAATCCAGTCCCTTTCATCCAGACAGAAAGACCACCAAAGTCACCCCCAAGGCCAATGCCTATCCCACAGGTGCTTTTATTTCTCCATCTTTTAACACCTGGATCAGGAAAAGCACAAATTAAATAGGGGCTAATGAGTTTCCTTAGTGTGAGGCTCTGCGTTATTTTATATCATAGAACTATACCAATTCATTAAAGATAAACTAGTCAAATGACCAATTCTACAAGTGGTCATGCAACAATGTTATAAGGTAAGTAAAGTAAGAAATTAACTGGGAAATAATAATCATAATTTTATACTTATTGCTAAACATAAAAAAATTTGGTGAATATACTTGAGGATTTGGCAAAACCATACTAATTTATTAAAAATACAGAAAAAAGATTTGAAAAATAATTCAAATTAAATTCATTGTAAAACTAAATACTGAAACATTTATAATTCCTCATAATACATAATTTTTATTAAAATAATGCACTTATAGGAAGTCTAAAGTATTTCATGACTCCTAGCTTTTGAAAGTTCAAGCACTCCTTAAAAGGCTGCCATAAAGACTAATAGAATGCGGTTTTTTTAAAGTTTTTTTGA